GGAGTCCGGTGGGGCACCCCATGAGGAGGATGAGTGGGTTCGGGATGGGGGGGGTCACCTGGACATCCCATCCCGGCTTTGCCGGGGGCTCCTCCGGGCAGATGGGGACAAATTGATCACCCAAGCGGGAACCCATGGATGCCCGGGCGCGAGCGCTAACGATTGGTAACGATTTATAAGGCAGGAGAAGAGGATGTCCATGGCGGGTAATGCACCTTTCGGATGGGCCACCTTCCCAAACCCGAAAGCAAAGGTGCGAGAAAGGGCCAGGGGTCGGTGGCCGCTAAACGAAGCGCTGCTGGTAACGAGGTTTATTTTGAAGGCTGGAAAACACCGAAGGATGGATGGATCTGCTCGTCCATCCCTGGACCGGCTCGTTTACCCTCGCTCCTTAAAATCCTTCTGTCTTTTCCTGCTGTTGATCTAAAACTCCTGGGGATGCTCCAGTAGATGAGATCAAGGGGAAATTTGGTTTAGAGCTTGAAAATTAAACGCTGTCGTTACGCAGGTTCAGGGGAGGCTGAGCTGGGCTCCGCTCCCGTGGGAATTAAAGGCTGGGAGCGGGATAACAACCAGCGCTGCGGGATGAGGGATGGAGCTGGGGATGGCTGCGCTGTCCCAGACCTGCGCTTGGCCTTAAGCCCTTCGTTATCCTCATTGGATGCCTGGAAAAAAATATATCTGTGTTTGTCGGTGGCAAGAAGTCGAGTCTGGATGGTGCCCAGGGCGGTGGCCCGTCACTGTGCGAGGTCACCCAGATGCCCCGTGGCATCCCCAGGGACTCCGGGCTGGTGTCATGGGGTTGTCCCAAGGATGCGGCTCTCCATCCCGGCTGGTCCTGGAGGGGTGGGATAGGGATGGGAAGCAGCTCCCGAGGGATTCGCCCTCCAGCCAAGTGCTGGATCCCGGCACGTCCTCACGGGGACAGCGGGTGCTGCCACCCCTCCACAGGTCCCCCCAAGACCCCAAATCTTTTTTCCCCTCCTGGCCTTTTTCTGCTCATTTTTGCTGCTCGTCACCGGGACGAGCATCAGGCCAACACTGACATCAAGTGGCTGCTGGCCTCCCCTGGCCGCCCGCGGCGTCTCCTTCCTC